CTCCTCCTCCTCCTCTTCCAGGCAGCACCAGCGCGGCTCCAACAGGGAGCGACTGAGGGGTGTTCTGGCCGCGCCGTGGTCGGTGCACTGTCGGCAGAGGGGGCCGACGGGTGGAGCGGCCGCGCCGCCGTCAGGATTCCCAACCCATGCCCTTCGCTGCAATGCCCCCTCCTCGTCGCTGCAATTCCCGCTCAGAGATCGAAGAAGAAGAAGAAAAAGCACCACACGCATGAACTGTTGGCGCTCCGCGCGGGTTTCTGGGATCCGCGCTGTGGGGCCCTCTGGCGGCGCCTCCGGCGCCGCCCCTGGCGCGCGGAGCGCGCGCCCGGGGGGGGGCCCAGCGCGGATCCAAGAAATCCGCGCGCAGCGCCAAAAGTTTATGTTTATGCAGTTGTTTTTTGTTTCTTTTTGCAGCAGTAGTTGGCCAGCGGCGGGGGCCCTCGTGGCCGCGGCTGGGCGCAGCTCGGAAACCTGGTGTGCGCTTGGGCCCCGAGAGGGGTCCGGGGACGTATTCTGTGCCGTCGGTGTCGCAGGTCGCCCCCCGCCCGACCACGGGGGCCCCGTGGGCCCGTGGGCCCTCCTGCGGCGAGGAGGCCTGGAGCTTGGCGTAGCCATCCGCAGCGGCAGGGTCATCTCCACGAGGGTCGAGCGGATGGCCAGGATCCCCCAGCGAGGCCTCGTCGGAGCCGGCCTCCCGGTCGACGGACTCCAGGAGGTCCACCCCCTCGCAGCCTTCCGTTGGGGACGGAGGGAGCCCACCAGTGTGGAGCTGCCCAGGACAGTCTGCCACGAAGTGGTCCACGTCGTCCGAGCCCTCCATGCCGCAGGTGCCGCAGAGGCCCAACACGTCGGAGCACATGAAGTCGCCGCCCTCCCCGAGCACCCGCGTGGCAGCTGGAAGCGCTCGACCCAGGAGCGCCCCGTTCCGAAGGGCCTCGCCGGACACCCCCAGCCGCAGCTTGCTGGGCCCCCCCGGGAAGGCGCATGCGACGCCCTCTGCGGGCGCGTCGGAGCCGCGCGGAGCCGCAGAGGGCGACGCTCAGCGGCCGGCACCGGCACGGCGAGCCACAGCCCGGGGCGGAGCTCCGCACCCCCGCCTGCGAGCGCCACGCAGCCGACGTCCGGCCCGAGGGCTGCGCTCAGGCCGTGCACCTCGGCGAGCTCCCCCTTGTTGTGTTGTGCAGAGCGGCTGCGTCGGCCGCCTCCGACGAGGGGGAGGAGGAGAGCGAGGAGGGGGAGGAGCAGGATGATGATGAGGAGGAGGAGGAGGAGGGGAGGGAGGGAGGGAGGGAGGGAGGGAGGGAGGGAGGGAGGGAGGGAGAGAGGGAGCGGAGCAGGGGGGGGAACAAAAAGAGAACGAACAGCGTTAGAAGCTCGAGCAGCAGGCCGTACCTCATTCAGAAGGAGGGGGCGAGGATGACGACAATAGCCAGGTGGAGGAAAAGGACGACGACGGCGGCGGCGGCGAGGCTGGCGACGACGACGAAGACGAAGACGACGACGACGAAGACGAAGACGACGACGACGACCACGACGACGTCGACGACGACGACGACGCCGATGACGACGGTGGGGACGACGACGACGACGACGACGACGACGACGACGACGATGAGGTGGCGGAGGCGAGATGCGGTGAGCACGAAGTGGCGGACGATGAGAACGACGACGACGACGATGTGGCGAGATGCGGCTAAGATACAGCGGCGGCGGAGACGCGGCAGCCGTGAAGGAGGAATCGAAGGAGAACGAAGGAGAGGATGGCCAGGACGAGGACTACAAGTTACTATTGCCTGCATTGCCTCCCTGATAGGAAGGTTTGGTGTCTCCTCCTCACTTCCATCCGTGGTTCCTCCTCCTCCTCCCGCATCTCCTCCTAGAACTCCTGACGCGCACTTGTGGCACCCAAAGGCTTCTTTGGAAGCCATCGGCCGCTACAACGGCCGCGAGGATCAGGAATCTGGCGGGTCGGGCCTCTTCCCCCCAGGCCAACGCGACTTTCCGGGTGCCTCAGCTCGACTGGGAGTGCGCCGCGGACTTGAGTGCGACCGAGTCCGAGTGGAGAGGTCGATCGGGCTCTTTCTATTGTCCGATGCACATACGTACGTGCGGTTTGGAGATAGTGTGTTGCCGGATCTATGTGAAGCACCTTGTGAGTTTAGTTTGATTCCGGCATGTGCGAGTTCGTGCAGCCCGTATGGTACTTGCAATTTGCTGTTTTAGATCAAGGGTTGTTTGATACGAGCATGTGCACAGCGTAGACCCAGATGTGGTCTGAGGTTTGCATGGTATTATGTGCTACGGCGAACGCGTTGCGCGTGGCCCACCTGGTTTCATTTGTAGGGTAAGAGCCCAGGGCCTGATATCGAGTCTGGGGTTTGTCCATACTCCCACCTTGGGGGTCAATTTTCGGGGACCTCGGCAGGCGGTTGGTATTGATGTATTGGGGTCCCGGGGGGGCATATATTCCCATATCCACAGCTTGCCGAGATCCCCGAAGATTGATCACCCAGGTTGCTGTTGTGGATGAATATTCGCCTCGCGCCGATACGGCCTGAGGACGACAGGTTTCTCACTGACACATAATGATGGAATTACGCGAGGAAGAGTTGATTACGTAGGGAGTGATGGGGCAAGGTACAGCGGAGAGAGAGGGAGGGAGAACAAAACAGCAATAGAGAGAGAGAGCGAGAGAGACAGACGACCAGAGTTGGGCTGACGGTGGAGGAGGGTCGAGTCGAGCACTTTGCACACACACACACACGAAGGTAGAGCAAAGTAGACAGCCGGATCGTCTGCATGGTCTAACGTGCGATCCCTATGTTAGACAAGTTTCCTACTCGAGCCAACTCTGGTGTGTCCACAGGTGTATGAATACACATCCATGTGTGGGTCTCCGCACGCCCCATGAAACCCCTCTTCCTCTTGGAAGATGGCAGGAGAAAAAGGGGCGGTTCAGATGCGTGCGCCGCCCGTGGAGGCGGAGGTTTTTCGGAGTGGGTCGGGTCGTGTGCTGGAGACGAAGGCTGGCCAGTACTGGAGTGTGAGCTGTAGACAGAGAGCACCAGGAGTTGTGTTGGAGACAGAGAGACTAGAGTACAAGGTGATTTGCAAGTTCTGTTTGGGGAGGGAGCCTTGCTGTGTTGGAAACGAAACTGATTAGTCCTGGAGTATGTGTTGTAGACGGAGGGGGTCGAGTAGAAGGTTATTTCAAGGGCAGTTTGGGGAGGGGGCCTGTCGAGTCTTGGGCGTTGTGTTGGAGACGGAGGCCGTTGATTACTGGGCGTCGTGTTGTAGACGGAGGCGGTTGAGTAGAAGATTATGTTCAAGTTCAGCTTGGGGAGGGAGCCTGTGGAGTAGTGGATGTTGCGTGGAAGACGAAGGCGGTTGAGTACTGGGTGTTGTGCTGTACACGGATGGGGGGTGACTAGAAGGTTATTTTCAAGTTCGGCTTGGGGAGGGAGCTTATTATTATTGAGTCTTGGGTGTTTTGTTGGAGACGGAGGCTGTTGAGTACTGGGAACGCTGTCGTAGACCGAGGAGGTAGAACAGAAGGTGATTTTCAAGTTCAATTTGGGGCGGACGCCTGTTGACTCTTGGGTGTTGTGCTGGAGCAGGAGGTCAAAGGGCACCAGGAGTTGTGTTGGAGACAGAGGCTAGAGTACAAGGTGATTTGCAAGTTCTGTTTGGGGGGCGGAGCCTGTTGAGAAGTGGGTGCTGTGTTGGAAACGAAACTGATTAGTCCTGGAGTATGTGTTGTCGATGGAGGGGGTCGAGCAGATGGTTATTTCAAGGGCAGTTTGGGGAGGGGGCCTGTCGAGTCTTGGGTTTTGTGTTGGAGACGGAGGCCGTTGATTAATGGGCGTTGTGTTGTAGACGGAGGCGGTTGAGTAGAAGGTTATGTCAAGTTCAGCTTGGGGAGGGGGCCTTTGGAGTATTGGGTGTTGCGTTGAAGACGGAGGTCAATGAACACTGGCTGGTGCATTGGAGATGGAGGGGATTGAGTAGAAGGTCATTTTCAAGTTCATATTGGGGAGGGACCGTAGCCTGCTGAATATTTGGTGTTGCGTCGGAGACGGAGGCAGTTGAGTACTGGGTGGTGTGCTGTAGACGGAGGGGTTCGGAGACGGAAGTTGTTGAGTCTTGGGTGTTGTGTTGTAGACGGGGGGGGGCTGAGTAGTTTGCTTTTGTAGAGGTCATCTTGGGGAGGGAGCCTTTTGAGTATTGGGTGTTATGTTGGAGACGGGGGTTGTGCAATACTGGGGTATGTGTAGTAGACGGAAGGGATTGAGTAGTAGTTTATTGTCAAGCTCAGTTTGTGACTGGAACTTGCTTTGGTGTTATGTTGGATATGGAGGCTGCTGAGCACTGCAAGGGGCGAGTCTCGCTCCGAACTTGGGCCGAAAAACTTTGCAAACAATAGTCCTCACAACTGGGTGCGAGCATATGGGAGTCATGTACGCACTGATGGCTTAAATGCACAAAGGGGGGCGCATGGTGCGTGCCGAGGGCGATATATATATATATATATATACATACATACATATACACATACATACATACATACATACATACATACGTACGTACATACATACATACATACATACGTACATACATACATGCATACATAGATACAGACACGCATACATGCAGACATGTTTTGGACCGATTGGGGGTGACCATGCAATTTTTGAGGGCCTCCGGAAAATTGATGCTTGGGGAGGTGTCTGCGTGTCTTCATCAATACCCTTCCTTGGCCGAGCACGTCTCCAACCCGTACGATGTTGCAGGAAATTTCACAGTGAAGTTTCGCCGTGTCCGCGAACATGCAGTCGACCTTGCGCGTGAACATGCTCTGGACGAACTCGGCCGAGCACACGAGGACCTGCAGGGCGATGATCTGGAGGGTGCTCAGAGACGACGGCAACGAGGGACGCGTTTGTTGTACCGCTTAGTTACTGGGCGCTCTGGGTCGATTTCGGCAGTCTTGAACGCTCGCGGAGAAATTCGTTCCGATGTCGACGGCATGGCCAGTGCTCTTGGTTACCACTGGCGTGAGGTATTCCGGGCTCGCGGCGTGGACGAGGCCTTGCTGGACAGGTGGCTCGCGGAGGAAATGGACAACGTGCTGCTCGCCAGCGCCACGCCATTCCCAGACCGCGCGCTCCGGCTTCGTCGACGACGCGTGCGCCGCGCCATTCGGAGTTCAAACAATTCGTCGCTTGGGCCGGATGGAATACTATTTTCTGCATGGCGTCGTATTGAACACCTTGCCGTGAACGCCCTTTTCGACGCATTCGAAGCTATGACTGCAGACGGCGGGCCCGAGGCGACGCTGGAAGAATACGGCGAGCTCAAATTTGAGCTTGTTGTTTGTTCTGCCCAAGCGTCCGACTGGCATTCGCACGAATGGCAGTGAAGACTATGCTGCGGAGGCCGTCAAGCCGCTCGTGACTAACTCTGACAACCGCCTTCTTGCCAGTTCGGTGCGTTTCCTTATCGAACCGCGGGTGGGCCCTAGGGTTTCCGCGTCGTAGAGAGGGCTCATGTCTGGCTGGTCTATGCTGGCAAGTATCGTGGGCATCGACGAGGCCATGGCTAGGGGCGCGTTGTCGGCGGAGGGGGGCTCGGCCACCGTGCTTTTCGATTTCGTGGCGGCGTTCCCTTCGGTAGGGCACGATTTGTTGCACCGACTCTTCGAGGCGCTTGGCTGGCCGCCGTGGCTGCTCCGCTTCGCGTGGGTACTGCACCAGGCCAACGGGTGCCACATGGTTGTTGGAGGCTCGGGGCATGGCGGCTGCTCCTCGACACGGGGCATACGTCAGGGTTGCTCGTTGTCCCCGCCCCTCTTCACGGTAGCGTCAGACGTCTTACTTCGACGCCTGCAGCGAGCATTCCCGAGGGCGTGCATTAGGGCGTTCGCAGACGACCTGGCAATGGTCCTCGCCTCGTCCCTCGCGAGCGTCACGGCGTTGACGGCGATGTTCGATGACTACGCGCGGATATCCTACTTGGCAGTGAACTTCGCGAAGGCAGTTGTTGCCCCACTTCTTGCGCACGACAACGACGAAGTCCGCAGGCAGCGTACCAGAGCGCCCCCAACCTGGGCCGGAGTGGACATCCGGCTCTGGGCGAAATATTTGGGTTTCAGCCCCTCGGCCCTGGCCGCGAGGACAAGTCATGGGCGGCTCCACTCCAGAAGTGTCTGGGCCGCGCCAGGCTCTGGGGCGCGCCCGCGGCGGGTCTGTGCAGCTCGCTCCGCGCTTACCAAGTTTTCGCGGCGAGCGCCGTCGTGTTCGTCGGCCAGCTGGGCGCTCTGCCAGACACCCGCGAAGACCATGAGGCCCAGGTCTGCGCAGCTCTTGTTCGAGGCCCTCGAGGATGGACGTTTCCCAATTGCTTGCGCAGGCCCCGGGACATTGGGTTCCCAGTCGAACTTCCAGACATCCGAGCGCGGTGCACAGCAGCCAAAGCACGAGTTTGCCAGTTCGAAAATCGTCAACACGGCGGTCTACGGGTGCAGGAGCGTGCCGCTCGGCTCCAGCAGGCGGTAGCTGCAGCAGCTGGCCGGCCGTGCGCCCAGGCTTGCAGAGTTTGGTTGGGGAGTTTTTGCTCTGATCCAGTTGGCGCGTGCCGAGGCGACGCTCAAGGCCGAGTGCAAACGCCCTCCTGGTTCTCCCTCCCTCTATCTCCCCTCGGCGTCTGGGCTCGATCATGTTGGCTGGCAGAGCTCCGAAACTTCTACGTGCTCGTCCAGACGGGGCTGCTTTCAATCACCTTCCTCGCAAGCTGGGCTGGTGGTGTCTGCCCACACTTCCAGGGCGTAGGGTTGCCAGGGTGGTGGCAATGTCGATGCGTCCTGGGCTGCCCACCGGGGAGAAGACAGCATCGAACATCACGCTGGCTGTGGGTGTTTCCACCAGCCGTGCCGGCGCCACCTTGGTCTCACCACGCCTCCACGGCCTCAGAGTTTGGAGGACTTTTTGGGAGTAGCCCCCACACCTGGCGGCTCTTGCGGCAGCGCTCCCAGCGGCGGAGGCGCGGGCAGCATTCGCGGTTTTGCGTG